CCCCCCCCAAAACAAACATAACTCAAGAATATTGTCCTAACATGGGTTGGACACCATAAACAAGCTCAAGGAAAACACAAAGTCCTATATGAAGAGTCCTTGGCTATTTGCAAACATTGTGCATCTTTTGCAAAAGTTGCAACCAATTTGGGGAAAATATTGATTTGCAGTATTAGAACTAGTCAATTACGCCTTTCGAAAGATCTTTTCTTATATGTTATATCTAATATGATAAATATCATCACCAGGAAGTGGCAGCAAGTGGGGACTGGGGAGCCAAGAAACTGACTAAACTCAAAACTTTGACAAAGACTGTCATTGTGATTCCAAAGCATGAACTGCCAAACTGGTTCATTAAAGAACTTATGCCTAGAAGCTTAAGGAAATCGAGGTATTCAACCTTGGTGGAAATATTTATCACAGCTCTACCAAAAGGCCCTCTTAAGTCCAAAAGCACATTTCTGAAAAAGAAGCACCGCTCTCTGCCAGGATGATGGTCTCACTAACAGGCAGCTCTTGGAAAGCAGATGACAAGTTGAGCACCAATAAGGGTCTCCCAGATTTCAGTTAGCTAGCAATTCCCTAATGTCAAAATATCAAATTTAGAAGAGGGCTTATTTGCAATTCTACATAAATGAAAAAGATATAGCTTTTCTCCAAGCAAGCCCTGCGGATTAGATAATTTCGAGAAGAATAGAGAAAAAACAAGGAGCAGAAAACTCTCTTAAAGACAATATTAACTATATAGAAATAGTACTCCCTGCATTTCAATTTTTGGAAGCCTATTTCCTTTTTAGTCCGTCTCAAAATAAATGATCCCTTTCTAAATCTAAAAACAATGTAACTTTAAACTTCCATTTTACCCTTATTGAGATGATTTATACCCACACAAATATCTATGGATTATTTTAGACCAAAAGTTTCAAAAGTCCACCATTCTTTCTTAAACTACGTGCCCAGTCAAATAGGTTCACATGAATTGAAACGGAGGGAGTTAGACAGCAACTAGTAGCACAATTGCATACCTTTATTGTACACCAGCAAGGGGAGTTGCAAAAAGGAAGAAGCGGAAATCTCAAAATGGCAGAATTTGATAGTCAAAAGCTTCATTTGCATAAACAGCAAGGAGGTTAGAACTTATCATCCGGAACGAAGCCTCTCTGCAACATTTCATCATGGAAACGAAAAGCCTCCTTCAAGTTATCCTGAGAGACATGTCCATTTATCAATGATGTATATGTGGATTTGTCAGGGTTAATACCCCTCTCGACCATTTTCCTATACAGCATGTTGGCTTCCTTCATTCGACCAAATTTACAGAAACCATCCAGTATGGTATTATAGGTAATCACATCAGGTGACAGCCCTCGATTTCCCATTTCATTAACCAAGTCTAAAGCTTTATCCATATTCTCCTCTCTTATAAAACCATCAAGAAGAGTATTGTACGTAACTGAATCAGGATATATTCTTTGGGATCGCATGTTGTTCAGAAACTTATCTGCCCTCGAAGCATCACCAGACCTGCAATAGCCCTTGATAATAGAGTTGCAAGTCACAATAGTAGGTTTGATACCTAGGTCAATCATCTCATCCCATAGTCTTAATGCATCGGATACACAACCCTTGTTACAAAAGCCATTTATGAAAATACTATAGGTAATATAATTAGGAGAAATATTCACAGAGATCATCTCATCCCTTAAGCTGAAAGCTTTTTCCATATCACCAACCTTACAAAATCCATCAATCAAGCTGTTGTATGTCACAACGTCAGGCTTGAGATTTCTCAGCAGCATGGCCTCAAATAGGGTCAGTGCTTTGTCCATGTTACCGCACTTGCAACATCCATTTATAACCGTAGTGAAAGTGTAAAAATCAGGATTTACACCTCTTTCCACCATCTCATTGAAAAGCTCATCAGCTTCATGAAGCATCTTTTCTTTGCATAATCCATTCAATATAGTATTGTAAGTCACCACATCCATATGTAAACCCTGCTCCAGCATTTCATCACGCATCTTCATAGCCTCCTTCATAGAGCCAATTCTACAAAAACCACCGATGAGAATTGTGTAGACTACGTTATCTGGTGTAAGACCCTTGGATTTCATATCCTCATAGTACGCCAATGAGCAGTGGAGACGACCCGTTCTTGAAAACAACCCAATAAGAGAACTATAACTAACCAAATCAGGGATGATAGCTCGACACGACATTTCTTTGAAAACAGATTCTGCTTCCTGCAGGTTACCTGTTCTACAGCACTCAGCAAGTAAAGTGTTATAACTAGCGGTATCAGGGGCCAGTCCACTCTCTACCATCTCAACCAAAAGTTGCCTTGCTCTCCTGTACTGTCCATTCTTACATAAACCATTGATTATTGAATTATATGTCAAAAGACACGGTCTCAACCCTGTAACTTTCATCAAGTTTATCACTTCATAGGCTTCTTCCAGAAGCCCCACATGACAATATGCATTTATCAAAGTATTGTAAGTCACCATATCCGGAAAAATTCCCTTTTCTTCCATTTCTTTAATAAATGGATTCGCGTTTTCAATTTTCCCATCTTTACACAAAGCATTCACCATTATATTAAGGGTATATACATTTGGCTGAATGTCACTTCCTCTCATCTCACCATACACTTCCCATGCCAAGTCGACCCAACCAATCCTAACAAGCCCGCCTAGAAGACCATTACATGCATTAATCGAAACACAAAGATTCCTACTTTGCAACAACCTAAATGCTTCTACAGCCTCCCTAATCTTCCTAGCTTGTACATAAGTCCTAATCAACAAATCAAAAGAATATGGATTCGACCCGGATATCCCATAAGTTGACACCAAAGATTCCACAATCTCAATTCTTGAAACACCACTCCTTCTAATCATCCTAAGGATAAAAGCCTGTGCATCAGCTACCCTCTTACACCTAATCAACACATGTACCACAGTGCTCAATGAAGTCGAGGAATGCTTGAAATTAGGACAATTTACAGTAACCAAGTTGATGAATTTTTGAGCTAAATGCAAATTATCACGACAATTACCAAGAACTTCAAGAAAAGTAGACGGGTTTAAACGATGTAATAATAGTGATGAATTGGTGATTGGCTTACCTTGTTTTAGGTTCCATAAAATTTTCTGGACTAAAAAAGTGTCATCAGATGGTGGGGTTGTTGTGGTTGAGGTGGGAAGTGAAGCACAAGTTGTTGATGTGCCTCTGATGGTGGATTTAGGAAGGCATAGTAGGCGTTGTGCCTGTGCTGCTGCCATGGGAAATTGACGTTTTGGGACTGCCATAGTAGTGCCGCTGAAGTCTGGAGCTATATATTTGGCTCTTGGAACATGCTAGTTTTCCATTGCCAAACTAAGGCAAGGCCAAATAGGGGAAAATGAAAGAACTATTTGGGGAAGAAAGAGGTAAAAACACCTTCTATTTTGTTGTTTTGAAGGAGAGTGATTAGGGAGCAGAGGCGGGTCCAGATGAGAATTATTAAAAATGAGAGAATTGGCGATTGGAAATTAAAAACCAAAGAAAATAAAAAAGAGCCACCTAATCTCCTCTCTCCTTCTTCTCTAATCCTCTTCCTCCTCTACTCCCGTTTGTTCTTTGATTGTTAGAGGTGATTTAGACCACTTTTGAATTTTTGAAGTCCATTATCATTAAAAACCAATCTTGAAGTTTTAAAATGGATTTGAAAATTCGGCCGTGTTCTTTTGAAGTGGGTAACAAAACAACAACAATATACGCAGTATAATTTCACATGTGGAGTTTGAAAAGGATAATGTGGACGCAGTCCTTACCCTATCTGAAGAGGTAAAGATACTATTTTCATAGATTTTCGGCTCAAGAAAAGATGAAAAGGAAGAAAAGGGAAGAAGAAAAGAGGAAGAGGGAGAAAGAAAGGAGAGGGAGACAAAAAACATATGGAAAAAGAGGAGAAAAAGTAGCATCAAATAGTAACAATTAGGGAGCAACAATTTTTAGTAAAAGGGAGGAAAGAGTAGCATTAAATAGTAACAATCAGGGAGAAACAAATTTCAGTAGAAATTTTCAAAAATAATAGACGCGGTTGCTAAGTACCAGATATAATAACAAACTAGAAGGAAGTAACTTTCAACCAACAACAAAAATATTACTAGTATACTAGTAAACATAGGAGAAACTTACAACTGTCTGTCAACCCACCACTTTAATCATCGACCTTCACGCCTTCCTATCGCTAGTCATGTCCTTGGTTAGGTGAAGCACCGACATGTCCTGCCTAATCACCTCTCCCTAATACTTCTTTGGCCTACCTCTGCCCTTCCTCAAGCCCGTCATGGTTCAACCTCTCACACCTCCTGACCGGGGCATCCATATCTCTTCTTCTCACATGCCCAAACCATTGCAGCCTCGATTCCCGTAACTTGGCTTCCACGGATGTGACTCTTACCTTGTCCCTAATAACTTCATTCCTGATCTTGTCTTTCCTGGTATGTCCACACATCCATCTCAATATCCTTATTTCAGCTACGCTCATTTTCTAGATATGCAACTTCTTGACGGGAAACACTCAGCTCCATACAGTATAGCCGGTCTAACCATCACCCTGTAAAACTTGCCTTTAAGTCTAGGCGGCACATTCTTATCGCATAAAACCCTCCAAAACTAGCCTCCATCTCATCCAACCCGCTCCAATGCTGTGAGTAACATCCTCGTCAATCTCCCCGTTGCCTTGGATTATAGACCCAAGATACTTGAAACTATCTCTTATGGGAATGACTTGAGTATCAATCTTTACTTCCACTTATTATTCATGCCTCTCATCATTGAACTTGCACTCTAAGTATTCAGTTTTTGACCTACTCAACTTGAAATCTTTGGACTCCGACGTCTGTCTCCAAACTTCCAACCTAGCATTAACACCCCATCGCGTCTTGTCAATTAGTACTATGTCATCAGCAAATAACATATATCATGGCACCCTCCGTTGTATGTGTCGTGTCAGCACATCCAACACTAGGGCAAACAAAAACGGGCTAAGGGATAATCCCTGATACAACCCCATCTCCACAGGAAAATGTTCAGAGTCTTCTCCCACAGTTCTCACCCGAGTCTTAGCACCTTCATACATATCCTTAATCATCATAATGTATGCTACTGGAACTCTGCTAAGCTCCAAATTGTCACGACCCAAATCGATGGGCCGCGACGAGCACCCGATACCTTACTCAACCGAGTACATCATCATAAGTGGGTCAGAAGGTGCGTATCTTTCTTATTACATCATCATAGATAAGTGGGCCAGAAGGCGCGTCATGATACAACCACAGTAACCATGAGGGAATATCCGACATAGAACTATCCAACCTGATATAGAAACTTATACCTGTGACATACGGGCCTATAAGGCCAATATGATCCATTATATACTTTAAATATAGGCCGACAAGGCCATACAAATATCCATATATATGACATCTTTCTACAAGCCTCTTAAGAGTACATACTTATCATAAAGGTCGGGATAAATCCCTGTCATATCAAACACTACACGTCTAGATCATACTGACCAAACAAGCAACTCCGGAGCAAATGGAGCGCACCAACATCTTCCGTTGAGCTGATAGCCTACTTGGAGGACTCTCGACCTGTCTATTGGGGCTTGCGGGCATGAAACGCAGTGTCTCCAAGCAAAAAGGACGTCAGTACAAATGATGTACTAAGTATGTAAGGAATGAAATTCAGTAAATAATAGACATGAGAGAAACATGGAGTAAAAGACTCAACATATAAGTCTGGATAACTCTACAAATCATGAAATACTTATAGTGCCATGCCTATATGTATGCATGTCATGTCGTGTATAAGTGCATGTTCTCATAACATCATCAAGCCTCTGAGGGCATTCCATCATATCATCTCGGGCCACTGTGGGCAAAATCATCAACGATCAATGTATACCAGCTGATCAGGTGGTGGTGCGTATATAACGCCATAACCTTTCCCATATCTCATATACATATATATACACGCGTATATAATGCCATCTGGTCATGGGTCAATGTGCATGTATAAATGCATGAAATGCAATATGAAATACATTAATAAAATCTCTTGGTACGTGATAAGACCATTATGCCTATGATTAATATCATGAAATAAACTTTACCAACTTAGTATTTTCCGAGACCCATGAACAGATGATAGAATAATATGACACATGTGGAATCAAGAACATAAGCATCTCTAGTATTTCTATGAATAGAGTCATTTATGAAAGTTGTGTATTTGCTCGTTTTGTTTGTATCGTATGGATCATGCCAAAAGGAAAGAAGGAATAGCCTTAACATACCTAAGCCGATTCTCTTAACAATCCCTCTAATATGCGTCAATTGCAATAAAAATGTAACGGCGGGTTGAATTAGGGAGAATCAGTATGATATTTTTGAGAAAGATTGCACCGTACTCCCTTAGAATCGCAAAATCTCACGTTGCTAAGATACAATCTCGTATGAATTTTTGAAGTAACTCACGTTGCCATTCAAATTCAAATGATGTCTCTCTTTGAATTTGAGAAGTCTCTTTTCCTTACTTTGTAGAGACATCAACATTTCTTGAACGATTTATAGAAGCTTTTAATTGTTGTGGGTATGGGCCCCTCTTATGTGGTGACTTAGCCACAAAAACTCTCTTAAAATGCCACCTTGTAATGAGAGTTAAGAGTCACTTAAATGCCCAAATCTTGCTAGAACGTTGGGTTTCAAAGACTTATCCAAAAGATTTTAATAAATTATCCACCAATTTCTTAATAACTTGTTAATCTCCCATTAACCGATACCCCATATACTTAAGAATTATCTTAAATTACTTAAAATACTACCTACTTTTAACATACCTTACTATCATGGTCATGTGGTACCTTGTATGGAACTAATCCATAAATACCGAGTATTTTAGCTCGGGCTGTATTTTATCCCAACATGTCAAACTTTGATGAAAATTTATTTTCTTTGATTTTCTTACCCCCTCACCTTCACGATTTACTCATCACTTGTTTGAAATAGCATACTGCTTATAATCTCATTCCCGAACTTATGTCGATTAACTTACGATAAAACTTTAACATACGAAAATGTGGGTTGTAACATCTCATTTTCGAGCTTCTATCAATATACTTATGGAATATTTTCACGTACGAAAACATGGGGTGTAACATCATTACCTTCTTTGGAACATTCGTCCTCGAATGTTGACTGATGCACTTATCATTTTCATGACTTATGTCTTCCGAATACTTTAGTACTCTCCTTGCCATCTAGGCAACTATTCTATGAATAATTCCAAAGGCAAGGGCATTCCCCCCTTTAGGCCACTTTCTCGCATCACGACTTATGGTCAGAATCCTTCCAATCTCGTAATCGTTGCTACCTTCTATCATGTAGCCTATATGACTCTGACCTTGTAAGTGCGCCTATGCGACTCTTCTCTCATTTTTCCTCCAACTTTTAGCCCATCTCTAGGCCTCACTTTGTAAACATATACAGAGCTTGACAAGATGTACCTCTAGGCATCTATAGGTATATTGAAGTTCTTCGCTCGGTACTTTGTTGAACTTATGAATATTGTTATACCTTATTTCATAGATCCGTTTATCCATCTATATGACTTTACTGCCATAACTCTTACTTTGATTTATCGTCACTGATATATGCTACCAAACTCCAGGTTACTCTTGTTGCTTAATCTAAGTCCTTTAAAGCTTCTTTAGTACTGTTTATCTTGAGAATGATGGCCTAATCTCACCTCATACTTTGTGACTTTTGTCCATCCATTGTTGATTCACCTTAATATTGATCTACAATCTACCACTGATAACTTGAAACCTCTTATGAAATCTCTAGGGCTCAAGTTGCCTCATGGGACATTTGAAGTGATTTTCCTGATCCACCTGGGGGCGATACGATACTATACTTCCATAATTGTATTTCATAGCATACCAATGTGATTTAACTTATGTGGGTATTTTAATTATGTACAATTCATGAAATCATTACTCAATCGAAGGCCCAAACGTCATCCTTCATCGATCACAATTACACCTTCATTCGACTAATAGGGCAACATTGCATCTTTTCTAAATGCTACTAGTCTTAGACTCCTTTGAGTTTATTCAGGCTAAACTGAGCTTTCTATAACTTAGAGAAACAATCAGCTCTTTTTTTTCATGGGCTTAATCTTGAGGACTTATCCATTCTCATCACCTTCTCACTTTCCCTTTCTTATCCTTATTCCTATCTTCCTAAAATCTTGTCGCTTTACCATACTTTAGCTTGCGACCTATACATATTCATTAATACTACTCGCAACCTTCCTTCAACTTGCTTGTACCATAGATTTCCTTATGTTATTCTGGAACATCAAGTGAGACATCACATCCTCTATAACTCTTCTTTACTCTCTTGGGTAGATCTCTCGGTACCTAGAAACCATAGGCTAGAACATATGCTACTGACGATGCTGCTATTATTCCTGGATACTAAATCCCTGCGCTTCT